ACCGTCATCAACAGGTGGCGGGAAAACCTTCGAACCCACCTCGCCCCCTCGCGTCTCTTCCATCACTTCGCGTCTCTTCCCTCACGTCTCCCCCGCAGCCGTCGGCATACTCGTTGCCGGCCAAAGGCTGCACGCCGCGTATCGCTGAGGCCGGCGTGGGGAAGTGCAGACCCACCGCGCGGCTCCAGCCTCGTGCGGGAGGTTGCCCGGCGGAGAGTATTGCCAACGAATGCGCGGTTTTACAAGCGCCAGCCTTGTCGCAGTGTCATTTTTCGTTGAAGTTTTGAAGTGTCCGATTTTGCTACATCTGGTCATCTGGTAAGATTAACTATTGAAGGATGAGGGGTTTACCAGGTCTTTTGGGCTGGTAGGGACAGAATTCGGCATTGACCATGTGGTTTGTTCGCAAATTTTGGTCATTGTTGTTCACGGAAACAACCACCTCTGTGATACACCTTTTTTGCGAAACAAATGGATATAATGATATATGATATATGTTTGCGCATAAAAAGCCTATAGCCGTGGTGAACCTCCACAATGCATATTATATATATATATATGTTTGGCCCATCCCTGTCTGATCTGATTCCCTACCCCAACCGATAAACATCAGAATCACCTTGTACCCGATAGGTTCCTGCTACCTGCGAGGGATGGGTCCACATCCTCCTTTTCTGTCTTCAACGTTATGCATTAGTGATCCAAAGTAGAAAGAACAACAAGAAAATACGACACCCTGAAACACTACATGTTCATTGGACATCCTTAAACCATTAACATCCATTAACCATTGGACACTGTCGAAGAAAGAACATTGGCAGAAGCTCTGTATATATATGTAAATATATAATATATAATATATAATATATAATATATACCGGCCCTTAAAGGATCCCCTCAGCAAAACAATCAAATGAAGCCATTCTCAAGATGCATCGTGATCGTGCTCGTGAGCCTGCTCCAGAGCATTGGGCATGGGATGGCATGGGGATGGCGAGAAGCTTGTGTCACTCGAACAACCACCCAAGGCAGTCCTCCAGGTCTGCCTCAACTAGGAAAATGACAGTAACAAGAGAAAACAAACAAACACACAAACGAACGAACGAAACAAACAAACAAACAAGCACAAGCACAAGCACCAGCACAAGCACCAGCACCAGCACCACCACCACCACCACCACCAACAACAACAACAACACAAACACAAACAGCAACAACAACAACAACACCAACAAGAAGAATAAAAACCAAAAAAACAAGAACAAGAACAAGCCACTCATCAGTGCTCCTTGGAATTGAGCTTATTGGGAACCATCCACTGGAGGTTCTCACCACCTGGACAACACCGTCCCACGTCACTTCTCCAGGCCACGCTGTCCCTCGGGGCCCAGCTCCGTCGCGTCCAAGGTGTTCAGCGCCTCGATCGGCGTTCGGTGGTCGACCATCGAGGAAGTCCAGGTTTTTTGTTGAAGCGAAACGAAAGCGAAGAACGAGGAAGTGGATGAATCAACGTCTTCGAAATTGGATGGTGAAAATTCTCCCAAAGGAGGGAGCTTGCTTCAAAACAAATCAACAGTCCACATGACCCTATGACCTACCACTTGGTATCGAAATGGTTCCGGGATATCTGCTTCAGAATTGCGGTCAGAACTTCCTCAGAAGCGGAGCGTTCCCTCTGGCCTCTGCCAAGGGCTCCGACTGCCAGTGCTGTCGCAAGGACGCTAGAGCTTCTTCCGTCTGCTGCGCCGGCGCTTTCAACGGTGCAGCTCTGGGCGTCGTCTCCCTGAGAACAGCACAGAGGGGAGAGTGGGGTAAAGGTGGAGCAGAAAATGGTGGGATGAAAACGATAAATCTCAAATGCTAAGTACAATATCAACAATCTTATCTTGGGTTTCCACGGACCATGTTCCACCATGTTCCACCCTGGAGGTTGGTGATCGTGTGTGGGTCCCAAACAAGTACGTCCTGAAACAACTAGTTAAGACCCAAAGCAGAGGATTGGGATGGATTTGGCCTTTTTGAGTGGTAGAATGTGGTGGGTCACAGATTTTACTGACCTTACTCTTGAGATCTGGTATTTGTTCATTCTTTATCAACCGGCCTCCCTAAACTCGACTTGGGCCCATCTCCGCTCCACCGGATTCCTTGACCAACCTCGACCAGGCTCGACCTGGTCGTGGCTCGACCAGCCGTCCGCACCGGCCGTCCCCGCCCCCCGTGGCCTCGACTCAGACATCGCGCGTTTCATGCGGCGGGTGGAAGGCGGAGGCGACGCATGAGACTGAGGTGCTCGGCAGTGGCGTTACATGGATCACTGGTGTCTCCATCTGCAGTTGAGATCCTTTTGTTGTTAGCTTTGCTCCAGATTTCCACTCAGTCGCGTGAGTGTTGCTGGCGGTGGGCATCTCAACCGACACCAATTGGACACCAATTGGATAGATACTCTGATTGCATGGTGCAGTATCAACAAGGACTTCTCTTATCTTCATGGTTTACTGGTGCCACATGGGCCCTGGGCCCTGCGACATCCAACTCAAAGATGCCGCAAGCGTTGAACATAGACCAGCATATATACAGTGTATATATATATACAGTATACTTGTGTCTGATGTGTATAGACGTTTTTTCAATATGCAACAAGGGATGGACATCTCACTCTTCTGGGATTCCATGTTCGACCTGCTAAGAATGGTTGTATGGTTGCTGGAAGACAAGTTCACGCTACTTCGATGTAGGCTTTGACCCAAGACAGCTACAGCGAAAATGCACCAGGACATATCAGGAATCCAGAGAAAACACACAAGTATCACACTGCCACAGAACAAACACCAAGGACAATGTCTCTAAGACAAAGGACACAAAGAACCTGTGTCTGATGCCCCCCGGCAACAACGTGTTTCCGGTTCCCAACATTCCCGTCGCCCCAACTGCCAGACAATCTGACGACGTCCTAAATACTTGCTCAGAACGTATATTATATATATACGGTATGTACACACATATATATATATATATTATATATATGTTACTAATTATATGGCATGAACCTTTGTTCACTGGGCATGCCATGTCTGCAGAGTTGCCTCTGATCACTCCTTTTTCTCCACTCACGTCGCATGAGAGGCAAGATTTCAGACACTTAGATCGGAGGCGTTTCAGCGAAGTGGTGTGCATACAAGCGAGCCAGGACCCGAGCTGCTGGGTAGAAACAGAGCTGAAACACTCCGACTAGTGGGGATCGGTCCAATGGTCAACCCACCTTCACAAAGGAATTCTCCTGCCTTTGGAGGCCATCGCTAGTAGGTTGGAGGGCCGCTAGGATGGAGGTCCTCGGCCACGCGCTGAAGCGCAGTGCCAAACATCTCAGCATTACATCTGCGAAGGTCGCAGGTCGAGGTTGGACGCCAAACGATCCACCTCGGAGGGCTGTGGCCTGGGTCGAACTCTCTGATCCTTTTTCGCTCCCAAAGAGAACCAGGCCGCGTTTATGATGCTTGATTCGCGGACACGCCGAACACCGATTGAAATGCGCAGAGAGGAAGAACCAGGAAAAACATGAAAAAACTGGGAAGACCAGTGGAGAGGTCGACAAGACAAAGCAATTGGTCCCTCCTCAGGACAACCATCTGCGAAGTAAAACTTCTGGTTCGATCTGCTAGTCATCCATCTCTACATCTGGTCATCCATCGATCTCATTGAATCAAATTGTTATTTTGCATGTTTTTCGGAGAAACCGACCACCCACCCTCAAAAATCCTGTGCACGTAGGAGCTCCTACTTCAGAGACTTCGACCATCCGGATGATATCAACCATCCCGCCACCAAAAATCCATACTGTACATCGCGTTTCGCTAAACCCGGGGGGGTTTTGGTCTTCCAGCGAACGCGTGCTGGTGCATTGCGGAACCGTCTATTGCGGCTAGTGGTGCATTGCTGTTTCCACAAAACAGTGTCTACTTACGTAGAAATGGCAAACATGCTGGCATCATGCCATTTGGGGGGATCAATGGATCCCAAGTCTGGCGTCCAAGGTGTGATCCGTAACAACCAATCCGTGTCAATGCAGGTATACACTCATACCGTGGCTCATACCACATTATAGTCATATGATGTAAATGCCGCTGTGAATACATCGACCATGTCACTGTATTTGACAGCACCCACGCAAACAAGAATCCTATCCAAGCAATCTGGTTTCCATTTCGACAGGTCCACTCCGTACACGATCCTTACATTCGCTTGACGACTGGTGTTTTACGTCGCACTTAGTGGCACCAAATCCCGCAAATGGCTCCTGACGACGTGGTGAAACAACGACTTTGCTTGATTTCTGCTCCTGCCTTTGTCTGCTGCAAAGAAGGTCGAAAGACATTATATAATTGAATTGAATTAAATTGAGTTTATTCGGTTTATTACTTTCTTGTCGTCATTGCCCCACAAATGAAGACCTACAAGACTTCCTTGCCCTGAATGTGGATCTGAACGAACCAGAGCAGTCGAGACGCCCCGCCAAGGCATTGCTGGAGTTTATGGAACAATCCGATAAAGGCTTCTCAACTCCTCTAGCCAGGCTTTGCTTGTGTACACCCATCTCACATATGATCAAACCCCAAAAAATGAACAGAATACTGAATACTGAATACTCCAGACACCAGAAACAACACCTCCACTGAAAACCGACCTGCGAGCCACATGCTAGGTGGTCTTGAACATCCATCGCCTTCCTCGGACCGCCAGTTCGTGACCTCGGAGACACGAGCTCTTTCTATGTGAAGTAAGCTCTTTAGGGGACGACGAGTGATTTTAACCTCACATCCAAGGTGGAATGTAGATTGATGAATAAAACGCAACTCCCCATATGCAAAGGTTCAAGTTGAATGATGTTTACATATTTTCCACAAGGGGGGTTTAACAAAAAATGAGGAGGCGCAAAGCCGTCTCAATCGATAAAGACAAGTCAGGTCTACCTGCAGGTCCCATGTCGTTCGGAAAAAATCGTTGACACATTGTTGCATTGTTCCTCTTTCGACCCGGTTTAGCGCTCCGAAGCGCTCGGCTTCACCCGAGCGCGAGCGCATCGACTCAGGAGCTCTGCAGCACGGAATGCCTAGTCGACACCGCAGCGCGGTGGTCAAAGTCGACACCGCGGGGAGAGGGTGAGACAAAAAAAATTGCGATGGCGGTTACAGTATAGGAAACATGGGTCGGAGTGAAGAAGAGAGCTTAACGTTCAGCAAGTCTGCATTGGATTTCCAAGATAAGAGCCTATCCTGGCCATTCCTGGCCTATACAATTTGTTCACTTCCTTTCTACATTATGCCGCAACAAGGTCCCAAAGGAGCTCAGATTCCTCGAGATTGTTGCAACATGTTGCAACCCTCATTGGCCGCACCCGGACTGGTTGCTCCACCACGTCGAAAGGCGGGTGTCGCACCATGTTCTGGCTTGGTCTTCGCACAAAGATGACATCGGTGGCCGCTGATCGGCCCAAAGAACCCCAAAGAACTCAAAAAGAACCGGCATCTTCTTGATGTTTCACTTCGGCCTGACCCAACCTTTTTGTTGAGCAGCCGACCGATCCTTCGGCCATGTCAACAGCGTGAATCGTTTCCCTCAAATCGTTTCCTTCAACAGCGTGAAGCCTTTCACTCACCCGATCACCAGACCGATTCACCGGATCCAGTTCGGTGTTCAGATCGAGCGAGCGAGCGAGCTCCGGGTGGTTCGGTACAGATCGAGTGGTACGTGATGCACGCAGCAGTAAAAGCGGAACGGAGCAGTTAAAGCTTCAAACATCTAACATCGCGCATTCTTCACAACCAGTCCTGTTTCTGGGTTTTCGACCGGAATTTCGCACGGGTCGTAATGGTAACGCGCTGGTAAAGGAAGGCCTAAAGGACTTGATGATGCCCAAAGATGTGGCCTCGGGCCGCAGGCGCCGCAGGAAGATCAGGGACAGAAACCACTTCTTCCAGGAGGATCGGTCTTTTGGTCCCAGGTGACCAGCCTCAAAATGGTCACCAAGGTGCAGGATTTGTCCAAAACAAGCCAAATTCATGATTTTCAGGTGTCGGGTGTAGATAGACATGAGAATGATTATTTCCAAAAACACAATTATTAGGCCAAGGGAAGCCTAGGGGTCATGTTTAGTTACTACAAACATTCCGTGGCTGACCCCACTGAGTGGTCATGAGTGGACACGAGTTTCAGGGGCGACAGGGGGGTTCTGTTGATCGTGGTCTTCCAGCATTTCTGACCCAACCAAACAGGTGCACCAGACGCACGTCCGGTCCTTTGTTGCAAACGTCCTGTCCTCAGCCCTTGTGCATTGGAGTGTGATCCATTCGTATCCCTCTGCGCAAAAAGAGTCTGAGGACGGTGCCTGCATCATTGACAGGTACCGATTCTGATAGGCGATGCATTCCTGGAACGAGACCTTGCTGAGAGACGTTTTGAAGGGCACGGAAACCCATCTGCTGCTGCGAGAAGCCCAAAGCTATTTCCTGTTGTAATTGTTTAAAGCACTCTTTGGAAGAGAAAGCAAAATGGTTCCGCAGCGTTGTCCAAGGGCCAGGCACGCATCTGTTTCACAAGAGAAGGCGGCCCTCCAATCACTTGCTCTACAAAAGCCTGTAAACAGAGATACGTATTTTTCTCAATTGAACGAACATGTTATCTCCTTTCACACGCATCATCCAGGAACTCCAAATGGATCAAATGTAATGGTTGTTAAAACGACAGTGACATGTTTCACTAAAAAACGGATGCCCGGCATCCTGCGTAAGTTTAAAAGAAAAGCATGCTCAGGTCGGCTTCAAGAAGGTGCCAAAAAGATGCCACTCCCTGCTCCCTGATATCAAATGCTACATCGGTGTGTACCAATAGGGAGACCTCCGATCACCCTGGGTAGACTGGTCTATCTTCCGAACTGAACCCACGGGGGTCCCGTTGGGACGAATGGCTCTGGCCCAGTCGGTTAGTGCGGAAACTCTCCCAGTCCCAGTGCCATTGGTTCCAAAAGGTGTGGACAACTCCTGAACATCCACCTGAATGAAAGGTTTCTAATATACTTTAGGGCTCCAACTACCTCCGTTTCGATGATGGTTGGGGTGGGTGCCAGGGGGGTCTAACCAAGTGAGGATATGGTTGGAGCCCCCGGGTATATAGTTTCTACTTGTCCTGTGCTATCTCGTGCGTGAACCTGAAAACTGACTCCAATGACGCATTTCAGGCCACGCTGTGATCCATCTCTTCTCAACGTTGAGGGGGCCAATATGGGCCAATCCATGGTTGATTCATCACTATTGCCAGTCTTTCTTGCCTCAGTGATTCTTCCAGTCGAAGGTATTGTAGAATTGAGCCACGGACAAAACCTGATATATAGATAATCCATAATAATCCCCTATGCTGAATTGTTGCAAGCCCCACTAAGCCATCCATGTGAGGGCTTTGGTTCTAGCTCAACTATAGAACCAGGGGGGCCACCCTTAGAACGGAATTGAAGTCGGCCACCTTGCCATCCTTGTTCTCGTCCGCGCTGTTGAACTCGTGGTCGCAAAACCTCATCGGCCCAATTAACGGGCACCGAAAAATCTGCTCACATGGATCTTTGTTACATGAATCAACATGTAGATAGAAACTCCACCACCGTCAGTCCGCCATTTTGCGGACATTTTTTGCAACGGATGTAACAGGTTGCAACGGATGTACCCTGTTTGAAGCCACAACCAGCTCATTTGGATGATTATATACAATATCCAAGGACTTGAGGCCGGTGGAAGCGTCGCGGGCTTCGCCAAAGGTCGGAAGATCGATGCATCGTGGGTCGGACGTGTGATGGACGTGAAAACCATCCCAAAAGGTCAGGTCAGTGATTCTCGGTCTTGTGAAACTATCCCAACACAATTCAACATGCGCAAAAAAATATACACCAACAAACTGCTCTAAGAATACCCTTGTGCCACATACAAAACAAATGAAATATGTTGACAGGATTCGGTGAAAAGGGTTCGTTGCAAGTAGGCCTTTAGAGATATGATACGCCTATTTTCTTGGGCCATAAAGAAATCACCAATAGCCCGTGGTTCATTTACAAGTGGTGTGGATGTAAACGTTCTGACAGAGACTGCGGCTCAAAGGGATCATTATACCGTGTGAACGCATCGAGACAATCAGCAAAGCAAATCAAAACAGTCTTCCAGAACATGTTCTCTAATAGATGTCACGCAGCCATATTTGGGTGGGTAGTACGTTCGACTACGTCGGGTCTTACTTTACTGAACTTTACTGTTGCTCTTCCCAAGGATCATATTCCACAATAGACACACGCACACACACTTAGGATAGGGTGTACTGAACTGAAAGCGGTGCCACACGCCGGCCTAGGGTTCCAATTCCTAAGGATACAGGTAAGGAAACCTGACAAGGAAGTGGAGGTCCATCAAGTTCAGCGAGGCCATAAAGTCTAAAGAAAACATCAAAACTTCAAATCTTCGAGGTTCTTGGCTTAGCCTCTTGCCATTCGGAAAAGGAAAATGCAGGTACGTGCAATCTGCGTCCAGATTGCATATCACAGCAAACTTGAAGTGTCTTCGTTGAGCGGTGACTTCAAGAATGCCCACCGCTCCCCTGCTGCAAACCTGAAAAATCCAAAAGGATCCCTATGATTCCAAGGGTTACACACACACGCCTCCCCGAAGGGAGGCAAGATTTTAAGCTCCGCGCCAAAGGTGGGGTGAGATTTCAGTGAGGATGGTTGGTGCGGTTGCCAGCTGCACAGTAAAAGGCCCAGGCACCCCTGCACGCGGTTATCCAGTAGGGTGTAAACCCCGGCGTAGGGAAGGGACAGGAAAGGTGTGTGGAGGCGCAGGAAGAGGAAGAACAAGAAACGGAAAAGAAGTGTCCGTTTCTCGTAAACAGGAGGAAGGATGGTTGGTGCGGTTGCCAGCTGCACACTGAAAGGCCCAGGCACCCCTGCACGCTGTTATCCGGTAGGGTGTAGACCCCGGCGTAAGGAAGGGAAAGGAAAGGTGGAAGGCCTGTGTGTGGCAAGGTGTAGGCGGCGAGGCCGGTAGGAGAGAGCTGCATAGCGGCGGGAGGCGCAGGGAGAGAGAGGGGAGAGAGAGAGAGAGTGAGAGAGAGAGAGAGAGCGAGCGAGAGGGAGAGTGAGAGCGAGAGAGTGAGAGAGGTGCTCCCAGCTACGAGCCCAGCGTCCAAGGACACACCAAACGAGAAAAGGAAAGAGACGATGGTGTTCCCAGCTACCACGCAAGCGTCCAAGGACACACCCGTCAAGAAAAGGAGAGAGAGCGAGAGAGAGAGAGAGAGAGAGAGAGAGAGAGGTGCTCCCAGCTACGAAACAAGCGTCCAGGGACACACCAAAGAGCAGGAGAAGGATTCATGGCGAGAAGGAGGAGCGGATCCTAAGGGTCCAACAGGTTCCAATGAACCTCAAAAGTACTACGGTCGCTCTGACCACGTTGAGGCGCTAAGCCAGCTTGGACCGCTGCGGTCACGTAAAGGCATGAGCCATCTTGGAATTCCTAAAATGAGACCAAATTGGAATTCTGGTGGCATGAGCCAGCTACTGTCCGCTGTGGACACGTACATCTCCGGGCAGGGGAGATAACGACGTACCCCCGTTGAACGGGTTGACGGGAGGCACTCTGCGGGCTCATCCCGGGTTGGCACAAGGCCAAACACACTTAGGATAGGGTGTACTGAACTGAAAGCGGTGCCACACGCCGGCCTAGGGATCCAATTCCTAAGGATACAGGTAAGGAAACCTGAAAAGGAAGTGGAGGTCCATCAAGTTCAGCGAGGCCATAAAGTCTAAAGAAAACATCAAAACTTCAAATCTTCGAGGTTCTTGGCTTAGCCTCTTGCCATTCGGAAAAGGAAAATGCAGGTACGTGCAATCTGCGTCCAGATTGCATATCACAGCAAACTTGAAGTGTCTTCGTTGAGCGGTGACTTCAAGAATGCCCACCGCTCCCCTGCTGCAAACCTGAAAAATCCAAAAGGATCCCTATGATTCCAAGGGTTACACACACACACTTGAGAAGGTTGCTCCGTGGAGCGTGATTTCAGGTAGCTTCGCGGTGCGCATTAGCCCTTTAAATCTAGATACTGCAGGAAACAACGTATGAGACGGCGTTGCACTGACTTAGAAACATCAGCGATTGAAGATCAAACTTAGTATTAAAATTGCAGGTACGTGATCCTAGCGTCCCAGGATCATATCAGCCATGGAATGCAGCCCTCTTCGTTGGACAACCAACTGCATCCATGGGGTTGTCCCCCTGCTTCTGTACAGAAAAGCTCGTAGGGTAGATTAGAAAAATACTAGAGTAGTGTCCTTGGAAACAGGAGTGGACACACACACTGAGCCGTATCGGCGCAACTAGATCGGATCAGGCGGCATCTGGATAGTAAATATTGGAAGGGCAGGACAGCGAATAAGTTCAATAGTGTGAAATGTACAAAACGACAGACTGCAAAATACCGGCGCATAGTCTTTTTTCTCTCTTCTTGGCCGCAGCGCCGCGGCGCAGTGTTCTTTTGAATGACCTTTTGTCATATAGAGCTGCATCAACTGTTGTGCTGTGGTGGGTACTAGATGTGATGGAAATGTGTATTTTTGTAGAGTGTGGTGGCGTGATTGTAAGCCTGAAAGGCGTAGCCTGTGGCTTCCTGCTGACTGCGGATCACGAATCTGCCAGGGATGGGTGGGGAGTTGGAAAGTGACGGTTCTGTTGAGAGGATCAATCAGGAAACCGAGTAGATGGTCGTCGTCCACTGGCTCTATTTCAACTGGCTGTTCATAAAATTCAGGATGGGCCAATGTAGTGATGGGGAGTGCTGATCTGTATTGTTCGTTGAGCAAGATGTATCGGTTGTCGACATAGCGAGTGTTGAGCAAGTGAAGGCTTGGTTGGTGTAAGAAGTTGTGGTATGTGGTTTGCCAAGTGTGTTCGATGAGTGTGATTGCCACATTGCAGAGTGCTGGTGAGAGCTGACTGCCAATGCCGGCTCCTTGAATTTGTTTGTAGTAGGTGTTGCATGCTTGGAAAATGCATGAGTGAAGAGCTTGTTGAACGATGAGGGGAATGTGTTGTGTGTCAAGTGTGCGTTGCTGTGGGTGGTGGATGTAGTGTCGACCGATGTGTGAGTGTTGGATGGGATTGCCGGTAGACTGAACATCAATGGTGATGGTAGTAGTGTTGTGTTGTGCTTTCCAGCGGTGGCATAGGCTGATGACTGCGTCGACAAGGCGTTGTTGAGGTACGCTGTTGAAGAAGCCGACAAGGTCGTCGTTGATCGGTGTGAGGTGGATGTCGTCGGGTGTGGTCTGGAAATGGTTGTGGAGGTGTTGCCAAAGGTTGGGTATGGATAGTTGGCCAGGATGTTGTGGTAGAAGATGAAGGAGCATAATGTCTAATGCTTTGGAGGTGGCTCGTAATAATGTGCCCGCAATGGATCTGAAATAGCTGATGACTGTTCTACCCTTTCGCCAGGATTTCTTTTGTTTGAGGAAGACTACTCCATGTGGTGTGTAGAATTTTGTGCGGAAGCCCCATGGATATGCTTTGCGAATGCTGGCTGGGAAGGATTGTGTGAGAAATTGGTGGAGTTGTTGGGCCGTGAGATCTGGTAGTGGGAGAAAAAGTTGTGGTGTATTCCATGTGGTGAGACATCCGTGGAAGTAGTGCTGTGGGCAGAAGAGTCGTAGGTTTTGTAGTTCATGGTCAGCATGATGGAGTACCAGCTTGTCTGTAAGAAACTGTTGAAGCTGTGTGACGTTGCGGGATGTAAAGCGGGGCGTGTATAAAAGGTTGTCGATGTGCTGTTTCCATTGTTGGTGTAGAAAAGGTAGGCTGTGTTGATGCAGGGCAGTGGGTAGACCATGGTGTCGCAGCCAGTAAGTGAGTTGTTGTTCAAAGTGTTGGAAGTATTGTGTCTTTGTGGGAAAGCAAGTGCTGTTCATGTTGGCTTGGAGGAATAGCTCAAGATGGCTGGGGAGCTGTAGGTCTTCAAGTGTAAGCACGTAGTGGCCATCATAGAGCGGCGGTGTGTGGTTGGGACGAAGCAAGGTGTGCATGTGGTGGCAGCTGCATGGCATGTCAGCTGCTGTTGGATGTGCTGAGAAGAGTTCTTCCCAACGTTTGTGGTTGTAGAGCCGGGAACGCAAAGTCTTGTGTGCTGCTTCACGTAATTTGGTAGTAGGTGGGTGGAAGGGAATGACGTGATGCATGTGGTGTTGGATCAGTGTGCGAAGCCATTTTTCCGTGGAAGACGAGAAGGTACTGTGGGAGAGGAAAGGAATGGTAAAGGGTTTGTTGGCTTTGGGTGGAGTGAGATTGCGAAAGCTGAGCGCTGAGTGGAGAAGGTGAAGAACACGTGATCGATCTGGTTCCTCTAAGCTGGCGGCCATTCGACGGAAGGCGTAAATTTCGAGATCAGTGTATTTGCCGCTGCGGATGGCTGTTGATGTTTGAAAAGATGAAAGTGTATGTTTGCTGAGCTCTCGTAAAACTGTCAGGGCGTGTAAGCGTTGACTTG